AGGGAGGAAGGAAGGAAGGAAGATGGAAGGAAGGAAGGAAAAAAGAGGAGGGAAGAAGGAAGGAAGGAGAAAAAGGAGAGAGGGAGGGAGGAAAGACAATCATTATCTCCCCCAATAGCGTGTGATTCATTTAACAACTCTAGTGATTCGAATAACGCCCCCCCCCGCCGCCAAAAAAACCCCTTATAAAACCAGCTATGACTCACTTAACCACCCCAGCTGGCTTCACAATGGGGATTCTGATCCCCAAAGGACTCCCCGTACCAAACCCTTGGTTTTCATTTCTTTCATTTTTCCAGCTCTCCCCGCTTCGCCCTTCCCCAAACCTTCCGGGGAAAGCGGCCGCTCTCACCTCCTGTTCCGACAGCCCGTCGATGATCTCGGAGATTTCGTGTTCACTCCGAGCGATGGTGGCCGAAAGGCCGGTCCCTCTTTGGCCAACCCTGCAGAGGTGGCACAAGGGTTAAGATGGTTAAGACGAAACTTCGGATTAAGGGCGATTGGGGGTGGGTGTGGGGGGGTTGTATCGATGTGTTGACCGCTAAGTCCTCGATGTCAGGGTTCCTCCGACGGATGCTCTAATTAATTCATGAGCCCGGTTTCAAAAGAAATCCAATTATTTATGAGGAACAACATGTCGGCACTTTCCCTAGTGCAGTCGGCTCTGTCGGGCCCCTGTTGGAATCTGATTCTGAGGGGGAGGCTGAGCAGGAAGTGCGAGTGTGGCCCCCGGTGGCTGGGGAGGAAACTGGGGAAGGGCACAGTTGGCTGGACATTCAGAGGAAGACCCAGGCCCATCTCCTCTTCATCCTAGGGCATGCAGGGAGGAACGGAGAAGGGAGCAACCTGGGTTACAGGGGAGAAAAGGGCCCTGATTCCCTTCATTAGCTGCAGCTGGGAAAACAGGATTTTAAAAGGGGGGGTTGCACACAGCACCTTGCTGGAAGCAAAGTATGCATTATCTTTGTTTGTCAAGTCTTATTCTGGCATCCTCCCAACTGTGTGTGTTTCGTTATCTTTTGGAAGTCTGCAATTCCTTATCCTGCCCTGTCTCATTAATTGCTGCAGCGTGGTTTGTGTTGGTTTTTTATTTATAATGTATATGTACTTTGGGTTCAGACTGAGTTTCTTCCCTTTGAGGACTGTTCTTGCAAGAGTTTTTTTCTCTCCAGCCGATGATAATTGGATGTTGGGGGCCAAGTTGAAGGAATTAAATGGACTTTACCTACTTTTGTGACTTTGTTGCTTTTGTGCCACGTCCCCGGGTCATCACAGGCTCTGTCCTATGTAATTTACTGCCCACCTATGACCCTGTTTCCCCCCTCCTCCCAGGGTGTGTCATAAATCACATTCTCCAACGGAGGTGTCTCATAAATCACATTCTCCAACAGAGGTGTGTCATAAATCACGTTCTCGGAGGTGTGTCATAAATCACATTCTCCAACAGAGCAGTTTCCCAGGCTGTAGAAAACATGAGCCTCCAGCTTGCTCTAGTAACCTGAGGTACAATCTGGAGAAAGGTATGCGTGGAATGTGCTTCTGATCATAGCAATCGAGCTTCGCGATCAGTTGTCCCCCCACTCCTGCCTATGGCAACTCGAGAGCAGGCCAGGAATGTTTTACGAGTTGACACTTGACTTACAACCTGCGATGATCCGGGAAGCAGCACACACGTAACAAAGTCCAAAACGTAAAGAAATATCCTTTAATGCCTCCCAACTTGGCCCCAATGTTCAATTATTCTCAGTTGGAGATGAAACTCTTTCCAAAATAGTCTCCAAAAGAAAGAAATACAGTGCAAACTCAAAGAATAGATAACGGAGAAATAAAAAAACCAAAACAAATCGCACTGAAGGAATTTCCACCGACGGACCAGGAGAATTAATTACAAACTTCAAGAAGATAACAAGGCACAGTCCGTTGTAAGAATGCCAACCAAGATCAACCTCAGCCAGAAATAAAACACGCTTTGCTTCTAGCAACACTGTGTTTTAAATGCCCCTCCTATATACTATTCCCCGCAGCTGCAGCCAATGAAGGGGATCATGGCCGCTTCCTCTCCCATAAGCCGTATTGCTCCCTTCTCCGTTCTTCCCTGCGTGCCTTAGGATGAAGAGGGAATAGGCCTGGGTCCTCCTCTGACTGCCCAGCCGGCCTCTGCCCTTCCCCAGCCTCCTCCACAACCTCCGGAGCCCCACTTCCACTCCCTGTCGGCTGTTCCTCCTCTCCCTCAGAGTCGGACTCCAACAGGGGCATGACACAACCGTTCGTTTAGTGACCGTTCAAAGCGATGATGGCACTGAAAAAAAGTGACTTAGGACCATTTCCCACACTTACGACAGTTGCAGCATCCCCGTGGTCAGGTGGTCAAAATTTGGATGCTTGGCAACTGGCATGTACTTATGACGGTTGTACCGTCCCAAGGTCATGTGACCAACTTTTGTGACCTTCTCACAAGGCAAGTCAATGGGGAAGCCAGACTCACTTAATGACGGTGACTAAGATAACAAATGCGGTGATTCATTTAACCACCGCAGCAAGAACAGTCGTAAAAGAAGGCAAAGTTCACTTAGCAAATTTCTCACTTAGCAACATAAATTTCAGGCTCAATTGTGGTCATTAAGTCGAGGACTTTCTGTATTCTCATTGGGCTTGTGTTATTATTCTGTTTCTGTTCCTACGTCTGTTCACTCTATCATTGTAAACTGCCTAGAGTAGCCTCTTAGTGAGACAGCAAATAAATTAAATTAAATTAAATAAATAGTTTAATATTAAATTAAATCTTTACTTAATAAAGATTTAACAAATACATCTTTAATAAAGATTAAACATCTTTAGATAAGTTCTAAAGATTAAAGATGAAAGAAATTAGAGAAATACGTAAATCATTTATTCCATTTTAAATTAAATCAACCTTTACTGAATAAAAAATTGAATACGTAAATCTTTATTTAACGAAGATTGAAGGCCTTTAGTTTAAAGATGAAAGAGCAGAGGATTAAATATTAATTAAATAATCATTAAATAATATGAATTATAATTAAGTGAAAGGAAAAAACAAACAAACCATTTCTTTAATTTTAAATGAAATATTTTTCATTTAATTTTAAGGATGAATCAGGCCGAGGCGCCTAACTAATCCTAACTTCTGCTTTTGGAGATCAGGACCCACGGCAGAAAAAGGCCCGAAGTCCTCGGCCAGACGGGACCCCCAATGTACCCCTCCCGCTGAGCATGATGGGATGGGATGGGCGCAGGTGTTCGGGGTGAGGCGCCCTACCGCCCAGGTCCCAACCGGGGCCCCCCTTGGCCCTGCCTTACCTTTGGAATCTCTCCTGCTGTTCCCGCTGCTTCCGGATCTCCGGGAACTGCTTCTCGTAATACTCCCGGGTTTTACTCTCCTTGGCCTTCCGCCGCGGGTTGTTTTCAATCCGGTCCACCTTCTTCTCCCAGGCCTCCATCAGTTGGTCGTAGCGCTGGCAGATCTTCTGTTCCTAGGGGGGGCCCAGAGACCAAAGAGGGAGAGTCGGGGAGACTGAGAAACAGAGAGAGACACCCGGGGATGGGGGGATGGAGAGGGAGGGAGGGATTGGGGAGAGGGAGCGAAAGAGGGAGGGGGAAAGAGAGAAAGGTGGAGGGAGAAAGGGGAGGGAGAGGAAGAAAGAGAGGGAAGGGGTGAGGGAGTGGGAAATGGGAGGGATGGGAGGAGGGAGAGGGAAGGAGGGAGAGGGAGAGGGGAAGGGAGAAAGAGAGGAAGGAGGGAGGGAGAGGGGAGAGGGAGGGAAAGAGGGAGCAGGAGGGAGAAAGAGAGAAAGATGGAGGGAGAAAGGGGAGGGAGAGGAAGAAAGAGAGGGAAGGAGGGAGGGAGTGGGAAGTGGACTGGGAAAAACAGAGGGAGGGACAGAGAGGGAGGAAGAGAGAGAGAGAAAGAGGGAGGGAGAAAGGGAGGAGGAGGGAAGGAGAGAGGAGGAGTGGGAGAAGGAGGGAGGGAGAGAGGAGGAGTGGGAGAGGGAGGGAGGGAG